AAAAAGAAAAGAAAAAAAGAAAAGAAAGAAAAAGAAAAAAAGAAACCCACAACTGATCAAAGTCTAGAGAATAAATGCCTGTGGAGTGTTTAGCCACAAGGGACATCTATTCATATCACCTTTTCCAAGATTGGGTATCCCTGGGAAAAAAGGGATAGAAAGACTGTAAGAGCTGGAGGTGGGGGGTGGGGGAGCAGTGTCTTCTGGGCATGCTCTATGACCTCTGTCCTCATGAACTCACAGGAGCTGTAGCTGCCTGAACCAGACCTTCAAAGATCAAGGCAGACACTCTTCTGGTATCCAGAGGGAAGGGGAGCATGAACATCCAACCCCAATAGGCAGGCGTGAACACTGGGTGGCTTCTGGGAAAGGGCGGATCTATCTTCTTTAAAGGCATGGGCCCTGGTAGCTTGACTCTACTGCAGAGGATAGACTCATACCCATGAGAGTAAAAATAGCACAAAATTGAACTCTGAGGGTAATTTTTTTTAAAAAAGGACACAAAGTTGGAAATAGGTTGGGGAGGTAGTGAGTAGATCTGAAAAGGGTTATGGGAGAGGAATGCAGGGGGTAAATATGATCAAAATACTTTGTATGAAATTCTCAAATAATTTATAGAAATATTTTGTTTTTAAAAACCAGAATTCAGGTAACTACCCTTTAACACAGAATGAGTTATACTTTGTCACTGAAATGGTTCTACCAAAGGATTAAAGAAATGAACATTATAAAATCATTTTTAATGGCAATTCTGGAAGTCCTTTTGTTATTGCTAACATTAATTAACTGCTGTCTGACTCAGTCTGGCTAAACCCACAGAAAGCAACAATTTGCTGCTGAAGATACCATCTGTAAGGAGGCTAACATCTGAGACATCCATTTATTTAGGTATTTAGCCATCCAATATTTATTGACCATCTACTATGTGCCAGGTGCTAGCAGGAATGGAGAATGCTAACATGGATAAAGCATACACATTCCTTTTGAAAAGCAGGGAAGGGCCAAAGCTGAACAACAGAAAAATGTCTACAGGAGAAGGGAGTATTTTTGTAAAGTGCCACATGGAAGACAAAGATAAATTTTCTGTGGTAGTGTGCTGGGGTAATTCAGTGTGTAGAGTTGTGCCTGAAATAGCCTCTTCTGTAGCTTGGCGGTCCACCATAAGCTCATATATTAGAGCCCCACTTCCTAACTGTAGCAGCGTGGGGATGCATTTGGGTCATGATGGCTGAGTGCCAATGAATGGATTAATGTCAGTCTCATATTCATGAAGCTTAGTTACCACAAGAGTGGGTTGTTGTAGAGCATGTTCCAAACCCATATCCTCTGTGGAGTCTTTGTTTTAAAGATGGGATATGTATCTATCTATCTATCTATCTATCTATCTATCTATCTATCTATCTATCTATCTATCATCTATCTATCTATCTATCTATCATCTATCTACTATCTATCTATCTATCATCTATCTATCTATCTATCTATCTATCTATCTATCTATCTATCTGAAGGAATACAGGCCAAGAACTTGCTATTAGACTAGGCTGTCTCAAACTCACAGAGATCCACCTGCTTCTGCCTTCCAAACTCTAGTAATAGAGATGTATTCTTCCACCCCCGGCTGCCTCATGTCCTCTGGATGACATATGAATGAGCAGCTGCTCGCATTATGTTCCTGGGCTTCCTAGCCTTCAGAACTACTAGCCCAAACACACCTCTCTCTTTTAATAAATCATTAAGAATCATTAAGTCTCTTTAAGCACCAGAAAAGTGATGATGCTGTTTGTTATATGACCTCTGTGATGTTTTCAGCCCCACTACTGGAGACAAGTTCTTTATCCACATGAGATATGGAAGCAAAGAGAAACAGCGTCAAACTGTGGATAAGGAATGCAGATAAGCGTGTCAAAATAACAACAACAAAACCCAAAATCCATCCAGGTTGCAGATGTTCCAAAGACACAGACCTAGTTGTTCTTGCAAAAGAGGAAACCCTAGATGTTGGTGACCTTGGTGTTTGCTATTGCATGTGGCAGTGAACTGGTCCATCTTTGTGCACCCCACACACTGGGTCAGGCTTTCTGAAAGACTGGTGTGCTGTTCAAGATCACCATCAACTCAGGGTTAGAGCAGAAGTTACCCTGTGTCCGAGCAGAACAGGCCTAAAAGTTGGCAATACTCCAGAACAGAAAACCATCTGGCCAAGGGGTGGAGCTTCATTCCCTGCCTGGAATCAGAAGAGACAACTATCCAGGGGCATTACCCTGAGAAAATCCATCTGTCTTACCATTAGCTCAGTCCCCTAGTCTATCATGCAGATGACAATAGCTCTAGGGCACTCACAAAATGGTACAAGGTACATTTATGTGAGGTAAGGAGCTGAAGGCCATAGGTTAGCCTGCATTTGAATACTGTCAATCACCTGTGCTCAACATTCCCAGGAGCCACCCTCCTTCTCTGACTGTCTGAGGTCATTTCCTCTCTGCCTCCTTTGTGACAGGCTCTACACTATTTCTGCTAGGGCCTAATCTGTCCTATGTACCCCTTCCTTCTATCATTTAGGTCAGGCCCATCCCTGATAGTGACTGAGGAAGGCTGAGGCTAGCCCCCAGCTCCTCTCTGGTCTACTCTCTATTGACACTGACTCCAAATGAAAGTTTATATCCTTGATCAAAAAAAACAACAAAAGGACTAGATTTTACTGGTTTACTAGCTCTCAGTAGGCAGAGCACAGGTCAGCTGAGCTGCGATCCCAGCACATTGTATACCAAGGAGCCACTTTGGTAAAGAGCAAAGACCAGGCTAGAATATGGCTCCCAGGTGACGAAGGGCTTGCTGTGTAAATATTAGCACCTACTGTCCACAGCCCATGTAGGCATAATGGTACACACTTATACACCCAGTGCTGAGGAGGGAGAGACAGCTAGCTGTGTTCCCAAAAATCTCTGGTCAGTCAGCTTAGTTACTTATCGAGTTCCAGGCCATGTAAGATCCTGTCCTAACAAACAAACAAAGTAGATGATGCCTGAAGAATGGTATGAGAATTTGACCTCTAGCCTATATTCAGATATACATATATGGACATGTGAGCACATGTACACATGTGCACACATAAACACATGCACACACACACACACACACTTACAGTGAAGGATGATTAGCAAAGCTTTGTAATTACCTGGCAGTGTTCTTAGTAATTGATGTTCTCACCCTGGCACCCCAATCTCCACTCCTGTAAAATGTAACTCAGTCTGCCAAGGTCTTGATAATTCTAAAGGAAATTCTATGTGCTGATATCCAGAACAACTATCTACCTGTTCATAGCCGAGTCAAGCTGGCAGCCAGCAGGGTCCTCTTGGCTTTAGAGACTTCTTGTCTCTGTGACGGGTAATGGTCTTGTAAGGCTCGATTTAAGAAAATGTGTCTTTGTACATGTCACCATGCTACTGCCCTCCAGAGTCATGGCCCTCCTTGAATGGAGACTGTAGATTTGGGACTCCAGAAAGTGAACCAGGCACTCATAAATGCCATCACCTCCCTCACCAGCCTATCCTGCACACCAACTGCTTCCCACCGTGGCTCTCTGAAGGCGAAACCATGGTCATTTCTAAGGCCCCAGAAACCAAGTGGCTTGTGGGTCTACCAGAAGAAACTTTCTTCTGGGGCTGGCTCCATATTGAACAGACAGCTATTCCCTCAGAGAGAATGATAATTAATCAAATCAGACTCCATCTTTACTGAACACGGGAGGGTGACTACTTCTCCTTGGGAATTTTCTGGTTTTGACACAGAAGTCCTGCATCCCAGGAATCTTTCCTTCGTTGGCAAACCAGGACCATTGCTCACTCTAATTCCCATGGTTGACAACGTATGGTGCATATGAGAATCAGGTTTCTAGGATGGGTGACTGAATCAAACACTTCCCTGGCTGTGTAATATATACTGGGAAGACTGTACTAAAAGTTCATTATTCTTAGAATTTAGCATCTAGAGTACCAGCAGCTCTTAAACTCACCTGTAGGTTAGAATCAGTGGAGATTTCTAAACTTTACCTCTCTTAGGGTGGATTCAGGCTATTGGGATTGTTTTCTTAAAGTCCTGTGTTGCTCTAGAAGAGCCACTAGCACAAAGAACTGACTTAGGGGCCGCTGTTCATCCCTCCTTTCTACAGTGCTGATTTTTGTCCCTTCCATTCTATTCATTTCCTCTTTCTGTAGAAGACAAGGAAAAGTAATTTGAAGTACAAAGGAGCTTCGTCAACTGAAATCAGAGATGGTATCACTGTTGGGTATGAAATCCGTAATAACACTAGAGAAGTACATATAGAGATCCCAACAAGAATGCTCATGCTTTGATTATAATACAAAATTTTGGAAAGAATCCAAACATCCTCCACAGAAGAGCAGAAAAGTATGGCAGTAAATGCCTGTAACTAGAATGAACAATTAAGCTACAGCATATCAACACTGGAACAACATGACTGCATACATAGATATATATGTATACACGTAAGCACATACATACGTACAGTCACACACACACACTTTCATTGACTTCTTGCAGGGCTTGGAAGTCTTCATTTTTGTAAGAAGGATGTCACATATTAGAGGATTCCAGGATGCACACTCATATCTGTGGCAGCAATAAAACTGTCAAGATGGCAAGGTAGCCTCTTGCCAGATGAGAGAGAATCTTCCTCTGCATATCTCAGGATATACAGGGAAATCCCAACACTAGGTAGCTGTTTCTGAATTTAAGTCCTGCAATGTAGCCCAGAATCAGAATCTTCTTAGCAGAGGCTCCTGTGTTGCTTTGCAGAAGGTGCAGAGCTGGGTACAGCATCCTCATCCATCATCCCTGCCTCCCGTCGTCCACAGGGAGCAAGGACTCCATTGAAATGCAGGTGTGACAGGAAACCTATGCATTCGAGCTTGTTCATTTTACTTGGCAGTTCTCGGTTGCTGACAAATGGTTAGTTTTAAGAAGGGGCAAGCACTTACCTGGTCCTAGTTTGGCCACGGCATAAAGGAGGTCATAGTTGAGGACTGGTGTGGCATCGCTGATAGGCTTCCAGCCAACAGGAGGAGATGAAGGGGGTGAGATGAGGAACTGTTTGGCAGGCTGTGGGGGTGCCAAATGCAGTTTGTCTCCATCTGTCTCTGGGGTCTGGACCTTTCAAACAAGATAATGAGACATGTGACTGTCTACACTAGCAGCTGAGCAGGGCTTCACTGAGGGCCAGACTGCAGTGGCAATCATCCCTTACAGTACGTGGTATACGGAACTTATAGTTTGACTTAATCCTTAAAGGAACAGCTTCTAGCTTTTAATGAGTGGCAGCATCACCTAGAGAGCTTCTAAAACATGTTGCTGAGCCCTGCACTATGTTGGGTGCACTTGTGAGTTTGTACATGTAGAAGCTAGTGGATAACTTCTGATGTCCTTCCTTAGGTACCAGTGCCCTTGTTTTTGTTTTTTGGGTTTTTTTTAACCTCGATCACACCAATGAGGTTAGACTAGATAGCGAGCAAGCCAGAGCGCTGCCTAAGAACATCAGAAAACACACATATTTGCATTATAATATGTAATAGTAGCAAAATTACAGTTATGAAATAGCAACAAAAATGATTTTGTGACTGGGGGGTCACCACATCATGAGGCGTTGTATTGAAGGGTTGCAGTATTAGGGAGGGAGAGAACAACTTCCATTGCTCTAAGGAGAACTATGCACCCCTTAAATGATGACTACCAATGTAGTTTCCTACTACCCTCTGACGGTTGTCAAGCTGTGTCCACTTCTCTAAACTTACCTAACTCTTTTATGAGAATGAAGCCATGGAATGGGCGAGCTTTTGTATCTAGCTTCCCATCTCATTTTAAAGGTGCATTATTCGGTGATATATTATCAATATTTCTTTTTTTTACAGCTGAATAATATTTCTTTGTGTGGGCATACAAAGGAGTATTATTATTCTCTTTATCCCTTTATTTTTTATTATTAGTCTCTTTATCCCTTTATCTGTTGAAGAACTCTAGGCAGTTCTTACTGTTGGCCTATTGTGAGCAGTGCTGTTAGGTATATTCCCACCTAAATCTTTGTTTGAGTTCCCTATTTTAGTACCTAGAAGAGTATTTCTGAGTCACATGATAACTCCATGTTATCTTTTAATGGAATCCTATCTATCTATCTATCTATCTATCTGGATATCTATCTATCTATCATCTATCTCATGTATCTATCTATCATGTATCTATATAGCTATGTATCTATGTATGTGCCTATCATGTATATATGTATATATGTATTATGTATCTATAAACCTAAGTATCTATCATCTATCTGCATATGTAATATATATTATATATATATATATATATATATATATATATATATATATTGTGAACACACACACACACACACACTCACGTCTTTTGGAACAAGGTTTACTGTGTGGCTCAGGCTGGCCTTGATTCCAAGCTTACCTGCCTTAGGCTCTCGAGTGCTGGGGTTACAGGCATTTGCCATCACAACTTGTCCTGATGCAGGTTTTAACAAATGATGATCTAAGATTGTCCTAGCTACGTGAATTCGTAAGAGATATAGGATTTTAGCAGGAGTCTGCAGCTGAAGCCATACTTGAGAAGTGACTGTTGCCTAGTGATGGAAAGGCCTTGATGGAGAATGGCTATTGACAACTAGTGCAGTGGGCTTCATGAACATCCCTAAGAACTACCCATCCCTGTTAGTGAGCATTTGGTTTTGCAAAACATACAATTAATTTTCATGGATTTGTAACTCTTTGTCATCAATGTGTTTAGCATACCATTAATCTTATCATTTAAACGTTAATCATAACCCTGTCAGGAAGGTTAGGGGTCAGCTGTGGTGAGCTCAGTTCTATTGTAGTTCCTAGCTGGAAGTTATTGTCCTGTTACCAAAATCTAGACACTGCTGCACACAGTTTTTCATGCCATCATCAAAGCAGCTATACGGGCTGATAATGTCATCATTGCCATCTTATAGATGAGGACTCTGAGTCCCAGTGAGGTTCTGTGACTTGTCCTAGTTAGAGCTTAGCTTGAGAGCTCTTAAAAGCCTCTGTCCTAAGACACAGAACAGATACTGCTCAATCTGGGCCTCACTATCTGTGTCTCTTTTTCTCCTTGTTTTAAAACATAAACTCAGAGGATTTCATACACATACAAATGTATTTTGATCAGATTTGCTTCCATTCTTTTCCCCTCTTCATGTTCTTTATGCTTTCATATCCAGTGAGTCTAATTTGTGTTAACCATATAAGCATGGATGTGGGACCATATCCTGGAACATACTCAACCTACCAGAGACCACACCATCAAGGAAACATCTTCTCTCCCCTAGCATCCATCAACTGTCAAAAACCCCTCATTTGGATGGGGGAGGACTCATGGTACCCCTTTTCTCTCCATGCTAGAATGTTGACTGGCTTATCTTGGGCAGGTCCTAGACAACCATTAAATTAATTTCTTAGTGAACTAACTGTAACAACAAACCTCTCTGTGGGTATGTACCTTTTATTTACTTTTCAATTAACAATGACTTTTTATACTTCTAAATTTAAATGTACGTGCATGCCCACACTTATGTATATGCATCATGTGTTCGTCTGGCACCCTAAAGGGTCACAGGAGGCCATGTGGGTGCTGGAAATTGAACCTGGTTCTTCTACAAAGGCAAAACGCCTTCTAAACTGTTGGGCCAAAACAGCAGGGTGAAGAATTACCTGTGCAAAGTAGAGTTTTAGCTTCTTCCCTCTGAACTGGGTCTCATGAAGCTCTATCCGGGCACGGGCTGCAGATTTGGGGTGGCTGAAATTTATTCGAACCCGTCGGAAACTCTTAAACAGCTGGAACGTCACACACTCATCATAGGTCCGGAACAGTCCCTCGAATTTTTCCTGATAAAAACAGAGAAAGAAATCCCTTTGGTCATGGGTGTCATGTGACAAAAGCAGGTAACCCTGGTAGGTTGTTGGAAACAGAAAGTTAAAACAGAAGGCACAGTGACCAGAAACATAAGCTTTCTTAGCCTAGGTAGCCATGAGGAAGAGAAGGAGTATTCTTCATATGACCTATAGCCAACTTTGTTTTGACATTAAAAAAATAAATAAACCAACCAACCAACCAACATTTATTGCATCAAACCACTAATATTTTGCTTTTTTTCCCTCCCTGCAGCATAGCCAAGACTCTGTGATACAAAACAATGATTGAAAATGTTTAATTAAATACACAATCTTAATTCTACTGGCAAACACCTATTACATGTTCACTCAGCACAAGGGATGGTCTCTTCTTAGGTTTTTTAAGGCTACAACCGATGGGGGTTATTTTGCTCTGACATGTAGTTGTCTAAAAATTTAACGTGGGAGTCCCACACAGAAGCAAACAAGAGAACACCCAGAGGGGTCCAAAAGGAAGAAAAAGGAAATTCAGAGAACTAAACATGTGTGTGTTATATAATTAACCCTATCAATAGAGTTCTTCTTAGCCTTAAAAAAGAACTTACAAGTAGAAAAAAAGTGTATATTAAGCACTGTACATTTTAAGGGTAAAATGTGTCTTAAGAAAATAATTTCTACAATTTTAAAAAAAATGCTGATTTTTAAATTCCAACAGTCAGCTTGTATTTTGTTAAAATGTGTGAACAATGGATTCGACAAGATTCACAGAGTTTTACTGTGTGGAGTAAGTATTCCCATGTGTTGTGCACAGGTAGAGGCCAACAGTTGATGCCCAGTGTCGTTCTCAATCTGTTTCCACCTTGGTTTTTGAGGTACAGTCTCCCAATGAACTGGAAGCCATCATTTCAGCTAGACTGGCTGGGCAATGAACTCCAGAATCCTCTTGTCCCTGCCCCATCCCCAGTGCTGGTGTTACAGCTGCATGCTACCATTGTCCCTGCTTGTAACTGATAACCTTACTTATTGAGCCATTTCTCTAGCCTCAGGTTCATAGAATTTTAACCTCCAGTTGGCCTAGTGGATGGTGAATTTAACCTTTCCCTCCTTGCTCACATCATTTTACAAATTAATATTCCTGGCTCATTCAGCAAGTTAAGACCAGTCAATGTCCCCAGGGCCCTGGCTTCAGAGATGCTTTTGAACTGTGTGAAGAATCAGACTACTAGACTAATGGGAAGAAGTGTTGTTAGTGTAAGTAAATGAAGGATAGCTATAAAATGAGCCTGGGGCTAATGCTGTGACCACAGAAAAAAGGATGATGTGGGGTTTGGAACTCATGAGTCCTGCAGTCTTTTAGAACAGACCCCTGATGTCAGGGAAGAGCTTCCTGTCTCTCCGGCATCCAGAAGACTTTGTCCTTGCCATTTTTGTACGTACCTGTGGTCCTTCCAAATCTAGAACACCCCAAGCTGAACCCACCATACCTCTTTCCATGCTTAACTCCCATGTCTGTCCACTCTTTCTCTTGTATGTCAATATGTCATTCCATCCCAACAACACAGAATGTCAATTCAAAGCTTGGGGCTTGTTTTGCTTCCTTATGCTTATAGACACTGGATAGATTCGTTCACCCTCTTTTCTGTCTTTGTTCTTTTCTCTTTTCCTGACAGTAGCAAACCAAGCATCTTTCTTTGCCATAGGCAGAAAAATGAGTTTTCCCCATCATCTCTCAAGTCTCGGGATAAGCCAGCCCCAAAGCCTGGGCCTCTAGATACCACTCCAAGGTGTTCCTTAAGGAATTCTTTCTCCCAGTCCTATGCTTTTCCAGATAGGAGTTCTGATAATTAGTACCCTTTCTCTTTGCACAGTAGGAATATTCTTGCCAAAATGTAGCCAGTGGTTTGATTAGTTATGAAAATCCTCAGGAATGAGAAGGGGGTAGGATGTTCAGAACTCATTTTTCATTTAACATGTGTTTTAGGACCAAATTTTTGAGTCCTCTCTCTGGCTCACTTATTTCAGTTGAGAGGTTCTACCTCTCCATCTCCTCACCAAGGTCTAAGAAAAAGCAACTGACTAGTGGAGGGGGGGCTTTGTCCCTCAATGGATATCCATTTTTTTACATATTACTATTATTTTTTTAATATGATGCTTATCATTTTGAGCTACCAACCTTAAGTGCTCATGTTAGAGGAAAACAGTCAAAGGAGCTGGGCCAAGGGCTTTAGCAATGGCCCTATGTGTGTTCCCCATGTTGAAAGGCCTTGGCCAACCAACAGTACTAGTTGTCTACTGATCTGCAATAGACACTTTCGCACCATGGTTGTCTGGTCTCAGCTTCTAACATTAGTGCCTATATCATGTCTGTTGGTGTAACAAAAATATCCTTGACAAAAAGTCAAGGGAAATAAGAAAGAAATGGTTTATTTAGAATATAACTCCAAGTTACGGTTCATCATTATGGGGAAGGTCAAATCGGGTACCACGAAGCTAGTCACACACATCCACTCTCCCAAGCAAAGAGAAGCAAATGCATCCTTGATTCTCCATTGCTCTTGGGCTAGTGTTTACTCTTACACAGTACTGGACACAGCCTAGAGAATGGGGCCACAGAAGGAGTTCCTGATACTTGTACATGGAGATCCAGCTCAGTGCTCAGGGGCTGAGGGCAGATACAAAGTAATAAGAAACTTAAATAAGGCTTGCTGCCTGTCAAAGTCTGGAGGGGAGGGGCCGTGAAGCCCCACCCATAGCATCCCACCCACATCAGCCAATGGTTTTCATGGGACCATATAAGGCTTTATACCGAGGGTGTTGATCATTATAAACATCTGCTGTGTGCTTGGAAGGCCCTCTATATGTTTTCAGGAGCTTGCATTGAGGGTGAGTGAATGAGATCTAGCCAAGAATGACGAGGTTTCCGTTAGTGACATTATAAATATTCATATTTTGAGGCAATAAATGGGATACAAGACAATTTGGCTAGAGGAAGACACAACACACCGAGCCCATCAATGTACCCAGAGACAAAACAACGACATAGAAAGACCAGCCACAGGGGTCTTCCACTTCCATCGCAGCAAATCTATTACTTTGGTGATGCCCAGTGCCAGCCAAGCACACAGTTAAATGTGTGTTCTCTAGCCAACAGTTTTCTTCTGTGGAATTCCTCAGATTTGGCTGTGAGATCTCCCTGTATCCTCTATGCTGTTCCATCACGGCTGTCTCTAATATTTGGTCTTAGCACACTGAACTCTCAGAAATTGCTCAAGAACCAAAATAATGAGCTTTTATAGTGTTGGATTTTCTCTCTTAACATTGATCGTACCAGACATAAAATAGAAGTTGGAAAATATTTACTTACAACTGAATTTCAAAGCAACAACAGTAGGCCTTTTGTATATCATAACCTTATTATGAGAGATTTCTGTTTTCTGAAAAATGACAAGGTATGGTCAGAAGATGGTCATTGCTTTCCAGGTTTGCAAATCATCTCACTTTTAATTTTCTGTCTGGCTCCAGTGCACTAGGATTCTGTGACTCAACAGTATAGAAATATGCAGTGGGGAAAGTGTACATTGTATGAATAGCCTCTCAGGAATGTGGCTGTTCTTCCTCGATACTACAGTGCTTGACAAAGAGTTGCCTCTGAAGGTGGTTGCAGCTCAGGCTCTGAAGCCACAACCAAACAACACTTAACTATGTCAAGGCTCATGGATCTAATTTTGTACTTTCATCGGAGTTTATTTTTAACCCCTGAATGATTTTATAATAGTATTTACTGTCATGTAAAATAACTTCCCTAAGTCATATGGCCTTACAAAATGATGAGTGTAATTATGCGATTTTAAAATGACAACCAATATGGATTACCAAAAAATCTGATGGATACAATTTTTCCAACATGAATTTGGGCTTGAAAGCTTGTGGTTTATCATTGGCAACACACATAACAGCTATTTTTTAAAAAAATGTGTGGGAAGTAGAGGTGGGGGTGGGTAGGTGCCAGAAGAGGGCATTGCATCACTTGGAGCTGGTGTTACAACTGGTGAACTACCGGAAATGGGCAGTAGGAACCAAACTGGAGTCCTCTGTGAGAGCTGTACAAGCTCTGACCCGTGTCTCCAGCCCCAGGAGGCTTCCTCTTTTTGTAAGTTAACATGCAATATAATGAATGGTACTGCAGTATTCATATCCATCCATTATACTGAGGTATTTTTCATCCTTCCCACAGTGCTTTGGTCAGCCCTCTCCTTCTTTCTTGACAGTGTCTTCCTGTCCACCAATTGGTCCCCTCTTCTGCTTATTTATCACATGCCCTCCATTACTTGGAGAATGTAGGGTGTTAAGTTGTCTACTTTTTGATAGATTCGGCTTTTGTTAGTGCAGCCTGGGGACTTAGCTTATCACTTGATGGGTCTGGATGCAAGCTGTCATTTTCTAAATTTTTTATAGTCTAAGAATTTTATACATCTGTAATATTTTGATCCAATTCACTTCCAGTTCCCTTCCCTCCAATTCATCCCGAATCCATCCCTATTTGTCCCTCCCAACTTCATGTGCCCATTTTAAAAGACTTATTTGTAGTATATGTTTATGAGCATTTATATCCATGAACATGATGCATGATGTATGTGCCTTGTGTCTTCAGAGGCCAGAATAGAGGGTCAGAACCCCAAAATTGGAGTTATAAGTGGTAGTGAGGCACCAGGTGGGTGCTAGGAACTAAACTTGGTTCCTTATCAAGAGCAGCCAGTGCTCTAAAGCACTGAGCCATCTCTCTAGCCCCAGATGTGCCCATTTTAACAAAGAACTTACTGAGTGTACTTAGAGCTTCCTGTAGGTCCACGGGTTTGGGGCCATCTACTAGAGTGTGGGTAGCCTCTCAGGGAATGAATCCCTGAAAAGAGCTGACTTTCCTTTTCTCATCAGCCATTAATTGTCAATAGCTCCTCAGTTATGGGTGGGGCTTTATGGCCCCTCCCCTCCAAACTTTGACAGGCAGCAAGTCTGATTTAAGTTTCTTACTTCATATCTGCAATCAGTATTTATCCAGTTTGTGCCTCGTATTTAAAAGGTCTTCAAGCATACCTATAAACACATGATAGTGTAACACAAGTCAAGATAGACGTTGAGTAAGAAAAGGGGGAGATAAGGGGAGAAGAATGATTAGAGTCTAGTGGATATGTTCAGTGAGCTGAACAATGTCTTATAGTCATGACACCTGTCACAGCTGGGCCAACATAACGCCTGCCATCTTTGTGAACACACACTGGGCAAAGAAACGCTCACTCATTCTACAGTTCATGGAGTCTACAAGACAAAGATGGCTCTGATCTTAAGACTAGGACATTGGATCTGTCCACCATCCTCATAAAGAGATGATGAATGAGCAGCCTTTTATGAGGAATGAGAAACATTCTTGTTAATGCAACAGAATGGTGGATGGTGTGTTTCTGATTAAAACATCAGCAAATACTAATTCCTAAATCAACAACCTTTCCCTTTATGCTCTCAATAAAACTGAGGAAGTGCTCAAGACATTCTGCCTGGTGAGTGCCACAGAATCTGAGAGGATTTTAGAAAACACTATTGAAATCTCAAATAGTTATACAGGCTTTAATACACAGTCAGACAGTGGACCAAACCTAACTTCTGATGGTTCTCTCTCTAACTCCTTAAAAACATTTTAGAGTTGGAGTTGTCACCGCTTGAGTTTAGGTTTTTGTCTAAGCATAGGAAGCCACTGCAAGCCAGATAACTGTACTGCTAGGTAGCTAGCAAACTCAAGCTAGTTACACTGCATACATACAGCCAGTGACATGTCAAGAAGCCCAGAGTTCCCAAGACAAAAATGAAGAATGTGATTTTCTTCATCACCCTAAAGAGCCAGTGCTGTACTTATGAGATGACTATTCGGGAAGTTCAGTGGAGCTTTTATCTTCTGTGAAACCACACTATATTCCTTACATAGTTTCCAGTGTCTAACACTTAGTATCCCTGTAGGCTTAAATTACTTTAATAAAAAAAAGTGGGCATCACAAAAATCACAAGACTTTCATCTGTCAGAGAAAACCTAAAACTGTCAAAGAAGGAAAGCATTTATTACCTTTTCGTGGCTATCATGAACTGTCACTGGCAAATCCCATCATTAGAGTGATTCTGGCTTTGACAGGCCTCTCAGGGGGCCTTGCTGTCAAGACTGTTGGGAAGGAGATACATAATCTGCATGTGGTGGTTCTTATGTCTGGTTTTAACCCATCATGATCTCTTTGTCTAGACCCTCTTATTACTGATGTATGCATTGTCTCATCTCTGGTCCAGATGTTACCTAACCAACAGAAGGGTTGCCATGTCCTTCTGTCTTCATGTCGGAAGAATAGCCTTTTGACCCATGTGCTACCTTTTGGAGTATTTGTTCTATTGATGAATTAAGTCAGATCCTCTACATGCACTAGCCAAATGTATTAGGATCTTCCATCTAAAGATGCTTTGGGGAAGGCGTGATTGAATCCAACGCATCCTTAATCACATCGCATTCCTCTGTCCAGGTTTAATTTCTCTTCCTTAGAGCCTGTCAAAAACTCAACATCACTTGTCAGGTGACTCTGTCATTATGGATGTGTGTCTGTGGGGGGCAGTGTTAAGAAAGAGTGCAGAGAGTAGATGGGATATAGAATATGTGTTTAATTTGATGTATGCAAATGAGATTGTGACACTATGCAGGAGGACAACATGATCAAAGACCTATATACTCATATTAACTTGATCGTCTTTCTAAAAATGGCGCCTGCATGAGTCTTATATTTATTTTCATAGTAAGAAGTTTCTGGGAATAGACTGTGTTTGCTTTCAAAAGCTGCAGGTCAAGGGCCTGCTGAAGCTTTCCAGCTTGCAGGCTCATCTTGGGAAATACATCTCCTAGGAACGCTACATGGTGATGAACTTAGAAGGCAGGGAAAGATGGGGACTGGAAAGATGGCTCAATGGTTAGAGGAGCTTGTTGCTCCTGCAGAGGACTTGTGCATGGGTTCCCAGCACCTACAATGGGCTACCCACAATCAACTGTAACTCTCTAGGAGATCTGACACCCCCTTCTGGCCTCTACAGGCACACGTACACACACACACACACACACACACACACACACACACACACACTTACTTAAAAAAAAGCAGAAGAAATGGAATTTAATATAGATGGTGTTCCAGATTCTCAAGGTGGAGGTAAATAAGGCCTGCTTTCTATTGGTCTTTCAATAATTGATGAGCACATGTTTAGGAAGTGTTATGTTAAATTAAAAGGCTAGATTCTAAATAAGTTCCCCCTCACATCCTTTGAAGATGGGCAATTTGAAGTCTAATCCGATCATTTTCCCACTTGGCATAGGATCAAAGCGAGGTTGCAAATGCAGTGTCGAATCTTCTTACTTATTTCTGGCCATGAAATTGAGGTGGCCTCAGTGTTCCTTAAAGAGGCAGGCTCCTGCAGCTTTCATGATGCAATTGTTAAATCTAACAGTGCAGTTTTCCTGCTTCTTGAGGTTCTCTAGCTGCCCTACTCCTCCTCCCTTTTCTCCTCTTCTACCTTACTCAGATTCCATGATTGTTCCTCCTGATCAGATGACATAAAACAGGGAGGGCTTGAATGCTAAAACCACATGCAAATTACTCAGGTTCAACTTTCTTGATATTCAAAATAAAAAACGATTGCCTCAATCCCCCGCCCGGACCCCCAGGATACAAGGTACCTAAACAAAAGCCTTTCCAAACTGAAACATGAGAGTCAACACCACCTAAGGCTGAACCAGACTGACAAAACCAACTATGGTCACAGCTAACAGTGAGCATAACTTTGGAGCACCACTGTCTACAGTGACTACATTTCTAATTGGGAATTCATAGGCCAGCAAATATACATAGCTCAGTCTTGAGTATGGTTCCCCCTTCCATATATGCTCATTTCTTCTTACAGTGAACTCCTGAGACAGTTAAAGAAATGGAGAGAAAAAGAAAGGCGGTAGGAGTAGAATGAATACTTTCTCTAAGGGGGCCAGCCTTAGCTACAGACTGTAAATTCATCAAAGAGAATCCAGCTCCCAGCCTTCTGGATTGAGTTCCCAGGCTAGCCCATCAATGGCAGAGAGAAACAGGGTCTAATGCAGCTGTCATCTTTTTGCTTACAGCTCATCCAAAAGGATGGGCATGGCTTTTGTCCTGAGTCATGTCTCTTGAAAGGGACTCTCATGTAGTCTTAGGAGAAATGGCAGGAAATCAGAAAGGAGCTTTGTCTATTAAAGGGAAGAGAGTTGAAGTGTTGCCCTTCAGGTGTGAGATAGCTGACTCCCATTGCAGATCTAATTTCAGTTTCTGGAGAACTTCCATACTGATTTTCATAGCAGTTGAACTAGCTTACACTCCGTCTCGCCAGTAGCATCTAAGGGTTATAAACATCATTAAATGACCAAAAATATCACATAGATATATAAATGATGTAAGTGTGAATTTTACATGGGCAGTTCATACCAGAAGCAACTAAACACGGTATTAGGGTGATGAAGTTGTATTTCTTCACCAATATGCATGTGGTGCACATATGTGTTCCATGTTTCTTTCATGTATTTGATTTAGGGCTCAGACCCTTGCCAGCCAAGTAAGATGATTTTTACTAAGAATTATATGGAGAATTAGTTCTCTTTGTGGGGCATAAATCCATGTGGAGTAAGGAACGGAATCTGGAGAAACCAGTAACTCATAGTTAGTGACCACTGTAATTAAAATTATTATATAATGCTTTGTTCAAACCAGGACACTGAAACTGGGGTGGGAGTTACTATTCATTATCTGTTACCTCAGAAGTGTCTTGGCTCAGTGGCTCTCTGGTCTCCAGCTGACTAATCTTAGCCAGGGATCCCTGAACTATGTCCTTCAGCTCACTGGAGAGACCTGGTGGTCCTGTCTACAGAAGGAACCCATTCAGATGTGCAAGACTCCTCTGCTAATCTTAGTATATACCAAAGGTTGCTTATGGGCTATGTTTTAATGGTGGCTGAGCTGTGTCACCTTGATACAGGCTAGAGTTACCAGAGAGGAAGGAGCCTCAGTTGAGAAATGTCTCCATGAGATCCAGGTATAAGGCAATTTCTCAATTAGTGATAATGGGGGAGGGGCCAGTCCATTGTGGGTGGTACTATTCCCAGGCTAGTGGTCCTGAATTCTATAGGAAAGACTGAGCAAGCCATGTAGAGCATGTAGATAGTTAGCAGCACCTGTCCATGGGCTCTGTATCAGCTTCTGCCTCCAGGTTCGTGCTCTGACTTCCTTCAATGATGAAAAGCAATATGGAAGTATAAGTCAAATAAACCTTTTCTTCCTCAACTTGCTTTTTGGTCATGGTATTTCATTACAACAACAGTAACCCTAACTAAGACAGTGGCTGAAATCCCTGGTAGGCTAAGGAAAAGGATGTTGGTCATATTTTCAATTACCAGCATCTGGTTGCTTAGCCTCTGTTGGGCACTTCCCAAGTACACACAAAGGCTTTGACTTTTTTCACTTTTCAGAAACAGGAGGAACTGCTAACACCTACCAGCCCTCCCTGAGGATGAGCACTGTTCATCAGCTTCACACTGGGTCCGGGAGAGGGCTCAGTGCTTGTGTTGAAAGCACAATCCTTAGAACCTGCATAAAGAATGCCAGTTGTTGTGATACTTGTAATCCCAGGGCTGGGGAGGCAAAGGCAAGAGGATCTTTGGGGCTTGTTGGCCAGCTAGTCTACCCTAACTGATGAGCCTGAGGTCCCAGTGAAAGACCCTGTTTGAAAAACAAAATGGGTCATGTACACACACATACACACACACACACACACACACACACACACACACACACACGCATCTACACATACTGCACCAAATAGTTTTAAGGAAATCACTGTTTGAATTAAAAAGAGTTTTATGTCCTTATAGTCCATCATGTGGACAAGAGGCCACTACCATCACTGTCGTCATCATCATCATCATCATCACTCCAGCAGAGCCAGCCCCAGCAACACCAGTAGCACTATCACCATTACCGACAGCACTAGGACCAGCAGCGCCAGCAGCACCAGTACCTGCATCTTTTCTATAGCCTCAAACACTGTTGAATGAGCATCATTTCAGGTTCCAGGCCCTCGCATGTACAAATTATTGCACAACTCTCATTTCAACAGATCCACAAATAATCGGTATTCCTTAAGTCAAAGGTTAAAACATCCTGAACAGGATCATTTGAGACGTGAGGGTTAGCTCACATGCTGAATGAGTTCATTTAGAACTGTGCTGTTGGTAGTTATGACAGCTATCCTTGGGTACCGGTGCTCTTCAACTTGGGACTAACAAATACATCTGGAGTTAGTGGTTACTATGACTCCAGTTGATGGTTTCATTCTTGCAACCAGTGTCTGCATTTTACTGTTTTAATCAACAGATTCCTTTTCCACCGTCAATGGGTAGCCTATCGGATAGGTGGGGAGCTGTGTTAGAAGATCCAATGTCCAATACATTTCAATGGCATTAGATCTTGTCAGAGCTAATGAGCACTGTACCAACATGTATTTGGGTAAGCCTAGGGCAACTCCTTCCTGTTTCATGTCCCTTTGGGGTGGTACTTCTGAGGGCAGGCTGTATGTTCCTAAGAACAATACAGCCCTCTCCCTCTATGAAATGAAAATGAACACCAGGTGTCCAAATCTTGCCCAGCTTTGCTTGTTCCAGAGATTCCTATCAATGGTGTCGCTCTTTTAGCAGCCCTTGAGCCTCTCTGCTATGACATATACCAAACAAAATGAAAATTGATCATTATAAAGCCTGGATCAGAGCAGTCACATGGTCAAGGGTGAAAATGAACTAGACCTTGGGTGGGACTTGATGCATACACAGGAGAACCCTAAAGCTATCATAGCAATGTTTAAAATCAAGGCCCTTGTAGCTGGGAGGTGACTCAGTGGTCAACAGCATGCCTTCTTGCAGAGGGCCTAAGTTTTGGTTCCCAGTGCTCAGGGCTATAGAAATGCTAGGCCAGCAGTCCTGTCTTCCTGTTAAATATCCTCACCCATATGAATTTGGATTTTCTACTTCAGAAAGCACCATTTCCTGCACTCATGTGGGTATGCCTTGCCAATTGTCTCACTAAACAATCACATCTGTCTCATTCGTAGAATATCTCAAGTCCTTTCTATCCCTGTTGAAGATGTCAACCTTTTGTCTCATTAACACTACAATCTTCTCCCTCCAGGTTCCAACTTACTTGAGTTATTCTATCAGACATCCTCTTGAGGTTCTGCCCCATCACCCTCTTGGTTCACTTATAGGCCTGCTGTACCACGTGTCTCTCTAGCCTCTTAGTGGGTGAATGAAGCTCTTGTCCAACAAGCATGAGAACCTAAGTTCAAACCCCAGAACCCAAATAAAAGTCGAAGGAAAGAACTCAGAGTTTCCCTCTGATCTCCATGCGCACTGTGGTTGCATACTGCTATACACACCATACACATAAAGCAACAGTAATTTAAAAATAACCCGCTGTTATTTCAGGATGTATGTATGCAAGTTTGAAAACATGCAAATATGCAGAATATGACTCTATGGTTTTGTTCTGTGTCCTGAAGATGGCACCCAGGATCTTGTATGTATAAGGTAAGGTAACTACAGTGACAATGATCCCCACTTCCCTGTCTGAACCTGTCATTTTCTAGCCAAATGTCTTAAACCATGCCCTCTTCCATGAACCATAAAACCACAACTGCCATCTGATTTTTGTCTTTGGGGGATCACAAATATCCCCATCCTCTGGATTTCAGAAACATGAGCACAGGGTATGTAGAGATGTGTTTTTACTCTATTTCTGTCTCCTGAGAAGAAGGTTAGCAAACCACAGTCAATTCTAATTTTCTGCCTGTTTATGCCAATAAAGTTTGATTGGACCACATTCACTTTCATTTGTTATATATTGCGACTCTGAAGAACAGCACAGAGTGAAGACATGTGGCTCACTAAATCTGAAATATATACCTATATGGTTCTTCTTGAGAGAGATAAAGAGAGAGAGCACATGCACAGGTGTGTATGTGTGTGTGTGTGCGCGCACGCACCGGCATGCACGTGTCTGTGTGTGCACATGCACCTACATGCACTTGAAGAAGCCAGAGAAGGATGTTGGATATCTTGATCTGTTACTCTTCACTTTATTCCTTTGAGACAGAATTCTCTCTGAAACTGGAGCTATCTTGGCAACCCTCAAACCCCAGCGTACCTCCTGTCTCTACTCAGTGACTCCAGAGCTGGAGTTCCAGGCCCACACATGACCACACAGTTTTCTTTCACAAATGCTGAGGAATCCAACTTGGGTCCTCATACTTGAATATCAAGCACTCCTACCTACCGGGCCATCTCCTCAGCTGACCTGTCTGGTTTTTGCTGACCCCCTCATCTAGAGTAACAAGGATGTCTGATTGGGTCATGATTCCTTATCCTATATTTAATACTGCAGATGGCCTTTTCATTCTGTTCCTACCATTTCAGACAGACTTCATTAGTGACAAATCAAATTGTGGTGGTTTGAATAAGAATGGCCCATAGGCTGATATATTTTAATGCTCAGTCATCAAGGTGCAGTGCTATTTGAGAAGGATTAGGAGGTGTGGCCTTGTTAGAGTAGGTGTGGCCTTGTTAGAGTAGGTGTGGCCTTGTTAGAGTAGGTGTGGCCTTGTTAGAGTAGGTGTGGCCTTGTTAAAGAAAGTGTCACTGGGGTGCGATTAGAGGTTTCAAAAGCCCATGCTAGGAGAGGCGCTTTCTCCCTTTTAACCTAGATCAGATGTGTCTTCAGCACATCCTCTAGCACCATGGTCTCCACTGTGATGACAGTGGACTAAACCTCTGATACTATAGGCAAGTCCTCAATTCAATGCCTTCTTTTGTAAGAGTTGCCATGATCATGGCGTCTCTTCACAGCAAAAGAACAGTGACTAAGTCACAAATACTTTCTAAGTTTGCTATTTCAAGCCAGAAATACACGTCAAGCTTATACAAGCTTGAAATGCATGAAATTGCATTTCAGGAAGGTCAAAGCCCATTGCATATTGGCAATTTCTTTTGCAGTTCAACCTGTGAGCAAGAGCTCAGGGAACTGAAAAACAAAACCACCAAACCAAGGAATTATTTCACAAAGGCACTTTAAAGAGATAAAATCAGATAATTTTTGGAAAAGGTGTTTTATACAAAATTAATTTCTTCCTCAATACCAAGGAAGGGCATTGATACTTGTATTCCAATTTTTATAATAAATTGGGTACTTTTCCCAGGTGTCCTAATAGTTTGTTGTGTCCTCCTCAACCATTGGGGTATACAGAGTAACTAGGAAAAACAGATGCTAGGTCCCAGTTTGATGGAACCCAAGATAGCTATAGGGGAATGAAAGAAAGCTGTCCTACCCTCTGCTTAGTATAGGTCTTGATTGCCTTTTTGCAATGAACAACGACCATGGCTGGGACCATGATCATTGTTATTTGAGGTGCGAGCTTGCTGTTCCATTTTGGCTATGGGCACCTTGTGCACACACTGCTTTCCCAGCAACCCTCTGGCCTTAAGCCAACATTTGGACAGGAAGGCAATGAGTCCAATAGACATTTAGACATTAGGGGTTTTTTTTTTCTCTTTCATAAAGAGTACTGGATTCTCCATTTTTCTACT